GATGTAGAAAATATTAAAACTTTTGCATTTTTCTTATCCTACACTCAACTCGTTTTTGCATATATTGAAATTATGTTGCCGTTGTTGGTCTGATAGATGCTATTTTGTATTTTGATGAGAAAGAATTAAAAAGTTGCTTACAGAAAATCGCTACAATTAAATAAAATAAATTTTTCTAAACTTTTTTAAAAACGAATTTAGCTTCGGGTTTTGCGTTCATCTGGCCACACTGCACATCGTGATACATATGCATATGTATGTATGTATGTATATTACAGGTATAAGAACATACATATGTAGATGCATAAGTATATACCATGGAGTACATATTAACATTTGTATGTGCAATTCAATAGGTATGTACAAGTGTTTTTTGTTGTTGCAAAAGCAACATGTTTAGCTGCACCTTAACATGTCACGAAAAAAAGGCGTGAGTACTAGGTACTCATGAAATTTGATGTGTAAACATATGCGAACGGCAAAGCATAAAAGTACGTTTACATATAAATATAATCTCAATCAAAGCTCTTTAGCTGTCAAATTGGTTGTGCTTGTTATTCACAAAAGTCGAGGAAAAGTTAAACTTCTTCTCTGTGCCACCGTGGTCTCTTTTTTTCGCAACACATATTATGCCATTTAAATATATTTTAACTGAATATTTTATTAAAAATACTTTTACAAACCTATTTTCCTTACTAGCGTCAATTTTTGTTTACTTTAACATTTGACATTCCTCCTCTTCTTCGCAAGTATAGTCGATAAAACTAGGTTGCTCACCAGAAAGTTATCGGTTTAATCTATAGCATGCAACTNTGCAACGTTTAACGTAAAGTACAGTCTATGCCAAAAGGTAGGAAGCGGATGCACGTAGTAAATCCGGCTCTTGCTCGTCGGCTATCGGGATGGGATTCTTGCTCCTACTTTTCGGTTTTAGCTAACTGCCACAGAAAAACTACTTTATTTTACGTGCTGAAAGGAAAGGTATCTAAAAAGAAATCGGATACACACGATTGCTCAAAACGTTTTGACGCCGCTTGGGTTGCTGTATGGAGTACGTTGCATGGTGTTACTGCAACGATCGCCCACCCTACCATAACTTCCAGAGTTTATCAAAAAAAAAATTTATACAAACCTGGAAATGCCTATTACTCACCACGACTAACTGAATATCAGGCTCGGGAATCATAAAAGAACAAAATTAAATATTCATTTTAAATTTAACAATTTTTATTAATCTAAATAAAGGAAATTCAAAATTATACAGATCTAAGCCCTTCAACAATTTTTACTCTCCTTTTTTTTTAAATACAAAGTTGAATTACGACAAGGATTTACAACCGAATAAAAAAATATATATAACAACACCCTTATAAAATAATAGAAATGGGAATCCTATTAAGGGCAAATTTATAACGTAAATCTCAGATTTGTATGCAATTTGCAGATTTGTGGCTGCTATAGAATTATTTATTTTNATAGAAATGGGAATCCAATTAAGGACAAATTTATAACGTAAATCTCAGATTTGTATGCAAATTTTAAATGTGGTTGTTATAGAATTATTTATTTTACTTATTAATTTCTAGATTTATTTTACTAATAGTTAAGATAAATTCATTTAACCAAAATAAAACAAAGTTGAACTATCTAATTTACCAGTCCTCTTATTTCATAGTACTGTGGTTTTACTTTGCATCATTAAGACCGCGAAACATAAAGCATGAATTTATATATACAGGGTGTCCCAGAAGTGACGTGCCAAACTTTAGGGCAAGGTAGGTGGGGGGGTGAGCTCACTGATAAACAAAAAATTTTCAGGTAAAAGTGTCACCGTTTTTGAAATATTTACATTTTTTCGAATTTAAAAAAATCGTGCCTTTTCATGTGTTTTCTTTAACTGCAACTACAAACCGGGCAATACTTAGTAAATTTTTTATGTAAAATACTTCCAGATAGTTGCCTCTCCATACTCAAATGCAATGTAGTTAAAATA